TGGTTCTATGGGCCCGAAAGGTAGACTGGGCTTAGCGTGACTGAGGGTGTTCCCAGAGTCCACACTCTCTGGGGTGTGGTGGGCTGCCCTGAAAGTCATCACACGTGGCAGGTCACATGTGGCAGGGGCCAGCTGAGGGGCTCAAGTGTCAGGTGGATTCAATGACAACAAAGTTCCCCCACGCAGGGCTCTCGGGCTCTAAGTCTATGGCTTAGCTTCGCTTCTGCAGTAGGCTCCGCACTACTGGGAGAGGTCTGTGTGTACAGGACTCTGGGGTTGGGGGGAAACAGATGCTCTTCCATTTTATCCTTGGGGGCCAAAAACCCGAGTTTGAATCCCCATTCTGCAATTTAGGTGCTGTGAGACCCCAGGCAAGCCTCTTGCCCTCTCTGAGTCTCCATTTCCTCATCTCCTAAATGAGGGCGGTAATATCTGCCTCCCAAGATTTCTGTGAAGATTTTCTTTAATCTTTTATTATGAACATTTTAAACCCAGAAAATATCCCCCCCCCATACTCATTGCTTGCCTCCAGCAATTGCCAAGTCAAGGCCACTCTTGTTTCCTCAGCATTTCCCTCTTAATCCCCTTTTTCACTGGATTATTTAAGAGCAAATCCCAGTCACATATTGTTTCACCTGTAAATACTTCAGTATGTCTCTGTCAGAGAGAATTCTTTTTTTTTTGCCCCAAAAGATGACTAACAGTACCATCGTCACATCTGACAAATTGATAACAATTACTTAGCAACATTAAGATCCTTCTGTTTTCCTTGACTGTCTCATAAATGTCTTCTCACAGTCGATCTGTCTGAACCATTTGTGATGTGCTGCTTATGTCTCTTTTAATCCATTACACTTCCCGTTCCCACTTTTTTTCTCATTTATTTATTTTTAAAAATCAGGTCATTTCTCTGGTAGAGTTTCTCATAGTTTGGATTTTGCTGACTGCACCCCAGTGTTGTCATTTAACATGTCCCACGGTCTTACTTCTTTCTTGTAAACTGGTAGACAACCCAGAGTCCTGACCAGGTTCAGCTAAGGAGGAGCTTGTAGCTGGAGGGAAACACTGCCCTCGGGAGGCACCGAATGGCTGTTAAGTGTTAGGATTGGTCACTGGGTTCAGCAGTTGTGTGGATTGAATGAGAATGTGTGTGGCGAGCCCAGAACTCAGTGGCTGTCGCTTAGTAAGCTCTCCCTGACTGGCAGCTTTCATAATGGCCTTGGGACCCTGTGGCATTCTGGGCAAGAGGATGGTAATAGACAAGGAGTTGATGACCCAATTCATGGATCTGTTTGGAGGGTGGATCTGTTTGAGGGTGGATCTGTTTGAGAGTGGATCTGTTTGAGGGTGGATCTCTTTGAGGGTGGATCTGTTTGAGAGTGGATCTGTTTGAGGGTGGATCTCTTTGAGGGTGGATGTGTATAATCCATGAATTAGGTAATCAGTTCCTTCATTCACTGTATGGGGTAGAGGGTCTTATTCTGGGCTCTAGATCTACTCTTGCAAAAGCTGTGTCCCCAAGCCCAACTTGTGACCCAGTTTTCACTTCTGGTGAATCCTTTGTCAGGAACTGTCACCCCTACCTCACATTGGGTCAACTTAGCCGCTGCTAAGATTCCAGGAGCCATAAGCACCACTTGGTAGAGTCAGGCCCAGCGCAGGTGCGTTTGCTGGGCCCCTCGGGATCAGGAAGGAGATGAGCAAGCTCCCTAGCCTGGTCTCTGCAGTTTGAAATGTCCCCTGGGCACAATCCATCTCCCTCCACCCCACAGTGCCTGGGGCGGGTGGGACGAGTCTGAACTGCCTCCCTCCTTTTCTGAGCAGGTGCGGGAGCTGACTGACGCCGAGTTCCCGCACTCCTTCCTGGTGTCCGGGAAGCAGCGCACCCTGCAGCTGCAAGCCCGGTAGGCGCTGGCTGTGGGTGGGGAGGCGAGACACTGGGAGGGGCCACTCTCAACACCTGTGTTCACTTTCCGAGCAGGTCCCAGGAGGAAATGATTTCCTGGATGCAGGTATCAGACCAATCCAGGGCCCCTAGGATTCCTACCCCACCACCCAGGCTGGGGAGGGGGAGGG